CGCAGATGAGTGCTGACCTGTGTCCTGTTTCAACTTGAGTCCCTCTTTGCCGTACACTGAAGAGACCAGAGGAGGGCAGAGGGGTGATAGAGAAGCACCTTTGCAAAGAAAGACAAATGCTACTGAAGGTCTAAATAAGGAACATGGTGTGTCTTGCTGTGGAGGTGAGCAGACAGGGCTGTGTTTTCCGTCCTCTCATGTATTATACATCTCTTTCTGTTTCACCCCAAGGTTCAGAAGCCCAGGGCCCCAGAGACCACAACAGTCTTTTAAAGATATGTGCTCACTTAATCACTGAAGAAAAGCGCCCCCAGAGCTAGCCTAATATTATAATTAATTAATTCAACCAAAAAAGGGGTATTAAATTTCCTCCCTCTAAGGGTATCAGCTGAATACATTGACCTTTGTGGAAATCGCCCTCTAATGCGAGTCGGGTTGTTAAGGCGTTTACAGACTAAACTTGTTTCTTTTTCACTGCTGGCGTCTTCCGGTTCTCTTTGTCTGCAGACGTTTCTGCGAAAAGCTGCGTGTGTGAGCGCGCAGCAGGTACATGTGAGAGAGTGCGACTTTGTCCGTGTCGTGCCCCAATTTTGTGCCTTCCCAGATCGGCTTTGCGTGGGTGTGTTTGCGTGTGGCTCTGCATGCGTTTAAAAGTGCATGAGTGAGTTTGAGTGATCCCTAGTTATATCTCCTAGCTGTGACACAGAGAAGAACAGAAACTTTTTTTATTACCAGAGTGGTAGGATACCAAGCAGCTAAGACTCTGTCTATCTCGGTGTCTTTCTCAGCGGTGTAGCTGACTCCCCAGTGTACTCCGGGTCTTCAGTAACTCTGACTGAAGTTCAGAAGGGTTAGGTAGAATACTCAAGAGGAAAGGGGAGACAAGTGAAGAAGGAGGAGGGGGGAGGGTTAAGTAGGATTGGAACAGTGGCAGTTTTAAAACAGAACTTTAAATCTCCACCTACGAGAGAGAGAGAGAGGACAATGGCGTCATGTGGCGTGCCGTTATCTTCAGGTCTCTAAAAGTTGGGAGACGGGAGGCTGAGAATAAAAAGGAGCTTGAAGAGGGGCATACATGTGATAAAAGCTGGAGGCTGTATAATCTGTGCTGTTTTTCAGGGAGGAATGGAGGAAAAAAAAAGAGTCAAATCTTTGCAACCTTCAGATTGTGGGTTCACGGAAACAGGCTCCCACTCACAACAGGACAAAATTAAATGCAAGAGGATTTGCAAGATGGATGGATGAATGGATGAGTGGATGGCTGGGTGGATTGGCAGAGAGAGAAACAAACACAGCAAAAGAACACACAGATCTCCAAAGCTTAGGGCAAAATTAATCCTGTGCAGTGGACCATGGGTTAGTTAGCAATCTTCATGGTGTTTTGGTACTCAAGGACAATAATATGGTCCACCATCTGAGATAGTGCCCAAGATAAGGTCTGAGAATAGCCCGCAGTCAAGACACAAAGAGGAATTCATCACTTTCAGAGTCACTCCATCAACTGCTCGAAAGGAGGATTGAGTGGGTAACCTTCAAAATGTGTCAAATTCAATGTCAGGTGCATTATTTTTCCGTAATAAAGATAAGCTTAATTTAGCACCTTTTCAATCAACTAAAAACTGAAAGATGTTAAACGAAAACATGTATGTTCTATCTTTAATCATTCAAACAACCTAACAACAGTTTGCCAATTATGTTGCCTGGCAGCTGTCTGGCGGAATTTAAGGGATGACACCATGTCTTAATTTCACAAAGGTTGCACCAGATGTTCTTTCTGCCAGTGGATGACATTCACTGCATTTCCAAACAACATATTCATTTTCAGCCCCGAGAAGTGTCAGATGTGGCTTGTTTGCCTTTTGGCTTGGCGATGTTGAGCAATGCTGCAGACCACTACCTCCCCCTACTGGCAATTACAGAGAAGAAGCACTTGACTGCGTCTGGGGGAAAATAGCAGAAAGATTCTTGATGAGACTGACTTTCTTTCGGAGAGAGGTTGTATTAAGATTAATTCTATTTTATTTATTTCGGCATCAGTGGAGATATATTAGCTATTGCTTTCACAAACTGACCTTTAAACAACTATTTCAAAAGGCCCCGTAACCCAGATATTTTTTATTCAAACCAAACCTTTTTCCAGTGATCACACATTCAGTATTTATAGTGAAATTCTACAGAGGTTACTGTTGCTCTTCTTTCCCCAATTCCACATCTATAGCCTGCGCAAAAGTTAGAAAGAATGATAAAGACGACAACCCACCTCCACCAGCCTGTCTTCACCTCCCCTGCAGCTCATCTTGTCACCTCCACACACATGAAAAGGCCGATCCGTCCATGCCACTGCTAATGGCGGGGACATTATTCATCTCTCCAGCCAATTTGAGCTCCTTTTCTTTCAGGAATAGAGGCATGAAGGGTTGAGAGGAGTCAGCGAAGAGTATTAAATATGTAGAGGAAGATGGACAAAGGAACAGCAGAATAAAGAGGGGGCAAGAGAGTGAAAAATGTAGAAGGACAGGAGGTATGTGCATGCGACATGGCTGAGACCAAGTTAGTGAGCACATGTGTGGAATAGACTGAGGAAAGATGTGGAGGCTTTGTCCTTTTGATTGCTTTTAGAATGATTTCCCTTTGTAAAATGGGTGATGGAACCTTTGGGATAGTTTGAGAAATATTTGGACCTTAGAGTTTCAAAGGATTCTCGGAAAACTTAAGGACAAACTGCAATGTCATCGAACTATGAAGCCACAATGGAATTGATGAGCATAGTAGTGTCATCTTCATTAACATTTTTTTTTATCATGGGCCATCAAGTCTCACAGAAGTTTCTGTGCCTACAAAAGCTATAAAAAGTGCTTCTAGTCCCCATCTATAAGGTGAAATCTTGCATTATTGGTGTGAGTTGCAGTCTGCCTGTCAGTGGGAAAATATATGTTGACTGGCCCGGTCAGGAGAGATCATAAAGCAGACTGTGATTGAGGGTATCTTAATGGAGGAGGACAGATCAATAAGTAATATCAGCACGTTTTAATTCTGGGCAACACGCATAAACCTTTACCAACTTCACAATGTCACTCAGGGTTCATAAAAGTTTTCTCTCCGTCGGCTTGGACAAAAAGAGATAAATCCGTCAAAAAGTCCCCTCCATTTTATGGCCCATCCTCTTTTCCCATCCCCGTCCTCCTCATCTACATTTTGATGTCTGTCTATTAGCAGAGGGTGAGGCCTTTCCTGCTCTCCCATCCAGGGGCTAAATTAGCTCAATCAGCCCCCTTTCACCTCTCTTCCGCAGGATTCAAGCTGAGTGACACACTGCTCCCTAGAGACGTAAGGGAGGACTCACTCACACACTCACCGAGCAGCCGGTAAAAAAAGACGAGGAAGAAGAATCAAAAGGAGAACTGGTTGGGAGAGAGAATGTAGCTTAATTTCACTTGAGTCCAGTTGAGCTATTTATTGTGAACGGAGTTCCTCATTCACTTCCATTGAGCTTTATTTCACTTTTCCCCCCTTTCTCATACTTCTGGAGGGCAGAGGTGCTATACCAAATCCACTTCAAAAGGGCCTGTCCATAAAAAAAAGAAGCAAACGGTAGTTCTCTATGTGTCTTGCCTCAGTCAGCCTCCAGCAGACTATGCCAGGGCCAAACTCCTCATTCCCGTGCCAACATCGCTTAAATTGCACCTTCATGTTTGATTTGTCTCGACCCTTCCCCTCTTTCCCTCTCACTAAACAGCCACCCAAGTATCCGTGGAAGTGCAAGGCAGGCATTTCTGCGGCAGTAATAGCAGAGCCTGTGTGGGTGTGTGTACAGGGAGGAGAGAAGATGGGCAAAAAGGTGATGATCGAAGTGAGCCATAAGATCTACTCCTTGCAGCTCTACAGGGATTTATTATACCGGAAAGTACATTAGCATCATAAAGCCTGAGAATGGGCCTGTGGATGGGCTGAAGACACAGTCTCCACACTATTACATGCACTGCGCTATCAGTGGAGTGTGTGCGGCGGTGTGTGTGTGTGTGGATAAAGAAAAAGATTAACCAGATTTAACTTAAGAAAGGCTGTTAAACGGTTTATGGATCATCCAAAGCAGCAGTGAACTGAATCATAAGGAAAGGATGGAAAAAGCAGCAAATGAGGACAGGAAACTATGTCAGTAATATATGGTGGCCACCCTAAAAAATAATCTGTCTTGCAAATAGACACATACATATTTAAAACATTACCACTTGTTGTTGAAGATGTACCAGTATACCTTATAAGTAGTATGTCTTTAAATATTTTTTACCTTCCTAAAAGATCAAATGAGTGACTGTTTTAGTAGTATTTCACCCAGGGGTAAATATATATCAGCTCAGGCTTTACTATGACTGCGGCAACTCTAATTTGCCATTTCAGAGAACGGAGGAAGCTATGGGATGCTTTCAGTAATATAGATCTCTGTTTCCACCTGGTGGACATGACATGTAACTCCCAGTAAAGAGCTATTCAGGCAAAGGCACAAACAAGAAGTAACATTTGTGGACCGGACATTTTATCCACTTGTGTCTATTACTTTAAATGTGAATCTGTCACAGCATAACTTTGCCTCATTGGGTCAAAAACAACACAATTCAGCTGCTCTTAGTAATCATGTGACATCTAAATATCAAAATGCCTCCAAATATCTTGTGCCTTTAATGTGTTTTTCTCTATCAAGAAATCTTTAAATATTGTTTACTCCCAATGCATAGAGAATTCCATGAATATGCAGATCTTCAAGAGCAGATTTCAAAAGGCATGGTGACTTTGGCTCACGTCAAAGTCCATTTTCAGTGTTTGCACAGTGAATACTTTAGGTTGCACCATCACAGGATAAATGGGTAGTAACAACACTGCCTATTTTCTTTTAGTCGTAACACACAAACAGACACGCTATACACACACCAGCACACTTCAAGCCATTTCAGCTGTTGTTTTCTCCAAACGAGGGAACAAAAAACTCCAGACAGCGAATGGATTCTGGTAAAAGATTTTATGTCTTCTGCTAATACAGAACCACTTTTCCCTGTGTGGCTGCCCTGCAGAGCGCCCAAAAGTGGAAGGTCAGAGGAGGCCTGAGGAGCTCTTTGGAGTGTTGGCTGAGTGACTGCATAAGCACAGTCCAACTGCAGCAGAAAGGCACTAATGTGGACAACAACAAACGCACAGTCTGTGGTACAACTCCAGGCAGTCACAAAAACACTGACACAGAGTTCCGCAAAGTCAATCGTCTTCCAGTCCAGACACAGAAGTCGGGCAGGAAAGGGGCAGGTGGGGCAAAATGATGACATACTTCAGTCTGACTGCAAAACCTAGCAAACCTTACATTCATCAAAGGCGCAATTTTATTTCAGTCAAATCACATAATCATCTTGTCTGGCTTCAAATCAAAAAAGTTAAAACAGAGAGAAAAATGAAAACCCCAGTCATATAAAAATGGTATCTTCAATGCACAAAAATCTAATCGTCTCTCATCTGAAATCGAGAAGGTAATAAATGTTTTCCCGGTCTTTTTCCAGTGAAAAACTGGCTTAATGCGTTTACAGTGACTTCTAGAAAAATTGGCTCTAAGAAGAGGGGGTAGTTTTGGAATAGAATTAAAACAAAACTAAAACAACAAATACAAATAAAATACAGTTAAGTGGCTTAGTGGCATACAACATATACAGTAAAATCAAATTCCATTTACAAAGTCAAAATAATAATATAGTTTCCAGTGCTTTGGGAGATACAATAAACAACAAACTCTAAAGTAAAGAAAACAAACACTTTTTTAATCAAAGTTTTTAAAAAATCATCATGAACTTTTCTTTTTTCCTAACTTTTTCTGTTCTGATCAAAGGCAATAACAAATTAAAGCCAAGCCTTAGGTGTTACACAACAGAGATACAACACAGGTGCACCACAACCTGCTCAAATCATCACCCTGACAACCGGAGAAATGAATTACCTGCAGATGACAGCCTGAACAAAGACCTGAGCTTTACCTCTGCAACCGGCTGAGTTACTTCCATCACAAGGGGGGGGGTGAGTGAGGCTGTAGGAGGGTGATCTGAAAACAGCCTCAAGGCACACTGCACTTTATTTACATGTCTGAGCCCAAGAATGTACATGTGTGTTTCATTCTGAGCATGCGTGAGTCTGAAAGCATGAGAGTGAGCTCTAAGATGAGGCTTTTTTTTAAAAGAGACACTGAACTCAAGAGCAAACGTCCTCATTTCCTTTCTCCTGTAAAACCTGAACGCTTTTTCTTTCACATAGGCTTCCTGAACAAACCCTAAAAAGTTACTTGGATACACAATAACAAGTTTTTCATCTGAACCGATAAAAGTAGAGTTAAAGCAAACTGCAGAAAGGTGCATTTAAAGGCACAACTAAAGCCCAAAAATGACCCCCAGTTTATAAGAAAAATAAACATGAAGAGAAGTAGCTGCATAAATCAAAAGACACAGATTGGGGCAAAGAGACACAGACACAGTTATGGTCAATAACCTCTGTTCAAACGGGAGCCATCTTGTGAATTCTTTGATAATACCTGAGTATTTTTGACACATTATAGACTTGCTGATTTTGATCATCCTAAGTATTTCTCTGTGCTTTCTCCATCATAGTACATCGCCTTCCAGTGCAGATCGTGACACCTCATAGGTGCTGGAAACCAGTGATGGCAGTGGGTGCCTGCGTGTGTTAGTAATAAGACAAGGGTTTCAACTTAAAGTGGAGTAAATGTAACACAGATCATGTAAAGGGCTTTGCTGCGAGCTGAATTTTTGCCTCTGATTGTTTACAGTCCAGCGATGGACTCTCTAAAGGTGAACACTCCCACTTAGCGGGCCTCCACAGAAGTTTGGCAAACAATAAACAGCCAGTGTTTGAGGCTAAAACCAACTGTGGAAGAACAGAGTGAGGAACGCAACTATGTGATCTGACCTCTTCCATCCAGATAAATCATGCATGCAGGACCAAAAAGCTCTTTCCGTTTTATCAACTATCATTCCTCCAATCATTTACAGTTACTGTGTGAGGTTGTGTGCAGGAGTGAAATAACCTGTCATCTGTCAGGCCAGACAATGGGCTGACTTCTCCTTGTCTCATATGGCGTTGGACTAATTAACTGTTGGTTTTGTCCGCTGTCCAATTACGGTTCAGAGACACTTTCAGGGAAATAAGGATAAGTGTGCTATGTAACTGGTCTGGCTGTGCTAAGTCACTACTAGTCAATGCTCAGTGTGCTGGTCTGCAAAGTTTTAAACTGCTCTGCTCTGATCAAAGCTGCTCAGATCACAGGCTCTTGTGTGAGTGTGTGTGTTGTGTCTGAGTGTGAGTGTACACACAAATGCCTACTCTGAACAGCATGTTTCCTTCTGTGAAGATGCTCTTTACCATCACAGAGATAATTGTACCATAACTGAGTGTCGCTGCTGTATGTAAAACTGTGTGATGAGTAAATGATTCCTTCATTTTTGTGTATTTGCTGTGTTCTTTTCTACCTTGCTGATATTTCATCTATGACCACGATGAACCCTCGAGTGTGTAATTGCATGTGTGTGTGTGTGTGTGCGTATATGTCTACATTATGTCCCCATCGTCTATGCTAAAGCTGGATCTGCGGCTAGAGTCGACAGAGGCCTCTGGGGACATTGCAGAGAGCAGCGGGTCGCCACCCATTGGAGACAAAGGCTCATCCATAATCAAGAAGCTCAAATCGCCTCTTCTCCCCTGGACATCCAGTCCACCCAGGTCACCCAACCCTGACATGCCGTCTGAGAAACCAGGGATGCCATCGCACAAGTCCAGCGATTGGACAAAGTCAAAGGGCTGGGAGCTGCCCACGGCTGGGTACTGGATGGGCTGCTGGGGTTGGAGCTGCTGTGGGAGTGGTGGCAGCTGCCTTGGCTGATGCTGGGCCTGGACCTGAGGGTGGTGGTGGGTCTGGGGAAGGAAATGGTGCTGCTGGATCTGTGGCTGAGCCTGGTTGTGGGGTAGATGCTGCTGCTGGTGGTGGACTTGTTGCTGCTGGTGGGACATGTTCTCCTCTGGGCTGGTCTCTTGTTTTATGTAGGAAGGCACCATGTCAGTTGGGTTGAAGCCAGAGGGAGAGGTGCTAGGTAGCCCATGCAGACGAGCCTGCATCTCCAACTCCTGTTGGCAAAGATCGTCACACATCGTCAGAATAATATCATGGGATACGATCCTGCCCATGCAGCTTGGTTAGGTGTGGTACCTGGATGCGAAGCAACAGCTGCTTATTGGCCATTTCCATTCTTTTGAAGTTGTTTTCCACCTCTCTGGATCTCTGCACATCCTTCTGCATGCGCTTAATATACTCTACAGATGCCCGCAAGATAGTGCCTTTGTTCCAGCGCACGTCGCTAAACACAGAAAGTTTCCATTAATTTGGCATCGTACAGCATTTTTTTATTAGAAATATACTATGGTGCAGTCAAAGCAACTCACAGGTCATTTGTTTTGGGGATCATGGTGCCAAGCTCCTTGATGCGATCATTAATGTTGAATCTCCTCCTCCTTTCAACTATTACAGAAGACAAAAACAGAACAAATAGTGATAAAGAGCACAACTCTTTGGCGTACGTGTTAGCCTTTCAGTGCAGAATTAAAGATATTGTTTAATTTTTAGGATATACAATAAAGAGCAGCACGGAGCAAACATTTACGCACACACCCACACGGTCACAGGTAATTACACTTTAGTGCCAGGACAGCAGAAATGATCAGGTTAACTATCCACCCACTTGTTGCACTGTGTCAGCTAAATCAGCACAAAGCTGTATAAAACTGTTTGTGCAAGAGACTGATTATGGTTTGAGTGAGAGTGTGTCAGTGTGCATCTGCATGTGTGTGTGCAAATGCTTCCAAAGGGCAAAAATTAACTTAGAAAAACCTTAAAGAAGGTGTAAAGAACTCGTGGAAAGAGCATGTTCATGCGGCTACTCACTCAGATTGTGGTTGTCTTTTTTCTGCCTCTCCTTGGCCAGCGCACGGGCTTCTGTGTCTTTGCAAAAACAAAATGCGATCAACTAACATCTGACAAAATGCCAAGTCTCAAGACTGACACAAGTTGCCTGAGTCAGGGAGAGTACATGTTTCACATTCATTCAGTGACTATCACTTAGTGAAATCAGCCTGAGTTTCAGTTAAGACATTTTTGGCTACCGAAACATGACTACCTAAGTTAAAAAGTTTGACGTTCGCACCTGACAGTTCTCTCTTGATAGTCAGATTGGCAGGACAGGAGTTACTTGTCATGGCGATGGCGGGCCCCTTCATTCCAGGACCAGTGTACACATCCAGGTGACTGCTTGACAGTGGGAGCTGGAGAAAGAGCGCACGCAAAGCAACACATGAACATGTTTGTGGATATCGAGTCACCGACAGGGACCTCCCTTTGCTCAGACAAAACAAAAAAAATTCACTAAGTTCAGATAAGTGTCACAGACATGGTTTCCTTTGTGTGAATGCTCCACTTGTGCAGAGTACGAAAAAGCTTGATGGCCCCTGTAATATATGTCCTAAATCATTATACCACAGCAGTGAGAATATCTTGCCCTGACATGTAACAACTGCACAGGATTAATCAAAGCTACTTGTGATCACAACAAAAAAGGATCGAAACGGGAGCAGATTCACATTCTTTCCTTAAGGATTCACAGAGAACCCATTTGCAGCCTCATATACTTTGTATAGTAACTATATGAAGTTGGTGCTCAAGTTTAGTGCGCTGTAAAGAGCTGATAGAGGGTGATAATACAATAATATCACACCTGGGTAAAGCCTGCCAAACACACTGCAATGATTGACAATCATTTCATATATCTTATCTCTCTTTATGGCTGGATTCTCTGCTGCCTCCCGCAGCTCCTGAATTTACCCTCGCCGAGTGCTCCAAACTCTAAACTCTTGCACTTTAGACATTGTAAACAACAGCTATTTAGTTTTGTTAGGACCCCTAAAAAGATCTGAATTACTTTTAATTGGGTAGTTTAATGAGTGCAACAATTCTTTTAAGCCCTAAATGCAGCCGTGTCACACTCCCTGAAGCAAGGGCAAATATGATGCTGCTAATGAGGCCTGAAAGATAAAGAGCTCAGAGAGAAAGATAAGTTAATCTGAAAGCTACTGTGTGAGCTGTGAGATCAAACACATTCATAGACATAAAAATCGACAGGGATCTCTGCAGGTTAAACTACTGCTCAGACGTTAAAGGCTTACAAAAGACGTAAAGATCTAAAGAATGCGTGACTGCAAATCTCACAGAAAACAATCACACTGTAGCCATGTGAAGCCCTCACCAGTTACTCTTTTCGTAGAGACACATTGTGTTATGAATGAGGTTTATAAAACATTAAGTTGCATTGAGCTAGGGAAATCTTCAACTGACAGGTTGAGATTGTTGTCTCCGGAATGGCAGTTTGAAGGCAAATCTATGTATCGCCACAACGGCAATTTGGTTGTGGTGGTAAGAATTTCTGCTAATGAAAGAAAATCCCAAAGAACACACTGCCTGTTAAACTATAATTCCCAGTTTCCTCTCTGCTCCTGCATCAACCATGCCCTTCATGCTCCATTCCAATAAGACGCTATTTAATTCAATTTAAAACCCATGGCTGACTGGAACTCGCATGGCTGAGAGCAGCCATCCATATACAGACACTCACACACGTACACTTAAGGATTGGAACTGTTCCCTTGTGCCTGGCATTCAGTGGTGTCCCCGGCTCTTACTAAACTTTGAAATTCCAAGAATTTCATGGAATTTGCTGCTTTAATCCCCATCAGGATTAGTAGGTGAGTTTCACTCACTGTTCTGACAGTTTGGAATAAAGCTGGAATGTTTGCGGTGCTGTTAACACAGTGATATGCACCTTTAAGTTTCTTTCTTTCATTTGTTTCACAGAACTAATGTTCCATACACTGATCCTCCCAACGTTTAATCAGCACATGCTGCCCAATCTAATCAATCAGTGTGACACAGACACATGCATGAAGAAATGCTTCAAGTGATTAAACCAATCAGCCACACAGAGCAGTGTGAGATAAAGTCTCAGGAGGGTTTGTGCATTTCCCTCTTCAGCAAAAGTGATGGAAGCAGAAGACCAAGCAGTGGGCACCAGTCTGCTATAATTTCTTTTTATTCCCAATATGATTATATTAAATATGCAACAAAAAAGAAAACTTGATATAAGTCCACAGCAGCAGTTGACCGCCAACACAAAAAAGCTCCATCACCCACCCCACCTCCTCTGCTATGGTGTGCCTTCTAATCAGAGACCTAAGGCTGGGAGTTAGAGCTGCTACTGCTTCCACTGCATCTGTCATGGCTGTTGTTCAAACCCACAACTTACAAGCTTACAAAAAGTAACAAAACACTAACAAAACAACTCCTTCAAAATCAGGTTAGAATAGCGAGAGAGACTCTCATCGTCTTACCAGCTGAATCTGTTCTCCTTCAATAACTTCCACAATGGCATATGTCTTACTCATCTCCTTCATCCTATACTTCTTCCCTTACGAGGCCGAAGGGGCTTTCTTCTCCTCTTTGGGGCACTGGCAGCACATGCACCGCTCTATGGCGCTGCCGCCTCTGTCCGGAGAGAGTGACCTCTGCAGCTCCGGTCTTGTCTGTCTTCTACCTCTGCGCCCCACCAAACATGAGTGAACTTTCCCCTAACTGGACTTTCAGCCTGTTTTCCCCCTTTCCCTCCTCCTTTCCTTTCCTCCCCCCTTTCTTTCTCCTCCTCCCTCCCTCCAAATGTCTTGTAAACAAGTTGAACTCTAACTGCTGGTAGTTTAATTGTTAATTTTCTGAGTGTGTTCTCTTAGACACAAAGCACTGCACAGTCCTCTGCTGACATGTCCTCCCTACAGTTTCCAACTATGTCCAACGTGGTTTAGGGATGGAATGTTTAGGGTTTAAGTCAATTATACACTGTTTCGTGTGCTGGCGTTACTTTGTGTATGTGTTTGTGTATATGTCTACATAAAGGCAGAACTAATGTGGCTTTGTGCAGAAAAAAAAACAGAAAGTGGATTTTGAGCTGCATTCAATAGATGCTTTGAAACACTAACTCATTAACAGAGCTAATAGATGCACAGAGGGCATAACAATGCCTCATATCAGAGCCAAAAATGAAGACTATTGATAATGAATAAGTGAAGTGACACACAGATACAGCAGGAGAGATTAGAGGAATGCCTGAAAAGCCAAACTCTCAGTGTTGATGAGTTAGCATTTCCAGTACAATGAGTCGTTTGGGCAAACTGAGCCAAAATAAGCCTTCAAAAATACAGGTTGCAACACTTTACATTTCTTGTATAATAGTAAGTCTAAATGTACATATGTTGTCAAATCTAAGATCATACAAAGAAACAAATGAAGCGTTATATTTAACTTGGATGCCTAAAATAGTATCAAACTAACTCTATCAATAACATCTAAATTAAATTAATTACACCAAAACAGACAATGCAATTGTTCCCATCTCCTGCACTGTAAAGTTTCCCAAATTAAATTTTAAATGATTGTTAAACCAACCAGAACAGACTAAACTCACCAAAGACAAATTTGCATCACAAGGGTTCGCAATCTGTGAACCCTTTTATGAGCCATAAAGTACATAAAGTATAAAGATTGCTGAAATCACACATCTCTACAGGGCTAACTCTTCTTACTGTGTTTGGCATCTGAATGGAATCAATGAATGCTTCGTCGTAATTGGACTGCATACTGATGATGTTATCAATGACCTCGTCCATCTGAAAAAAATACAATACAAAAACAAAGTCAATAAATAAAAAGGCTTTTTTAATATCAGGTTGGACCATATCACCAAGTCGCCTCACGTCACTTGAAGAAAACAGCAATGTCCCTTTTGTGACTGTGACGAACCTAAAGACCTATTCAATAAACTCTTCTGTGAAAAGGGAATGAAGACAGTTGCATTAAAATGCTTTGAGAAAACAGCACTGGAGACACTGACACTCTTTACATAATCATGTTGTTAAGGCACTAAAAACCTGGACTTCTCTCTTATGGAGTCTGGCCTGCAAGACCATATGAAAGGAGAAAAAAGCAAGGTTGTAAGTTGTAGGCGGAGAGTTGGTCAAAGTCTCTGAGGTTCAAAGGCCCCACATTCTGCTGTTTTTCTGTCACTTGTTAAGCTGTAATTACTGCTGCAAGGTCATTATGGAGCATTTAAATTCTACTGATTGCCAGCCTTAGTTATTGCTAGATAGACATCCTTTCATTCACAGACCACTAAACACACAACACATTAACACTGGCTGATCCACAAATGCTGCTCCTGCCTACTGGAAAACAATTAAATGATTATGATGCTTTCATAAAAAGTGAAGACCATGTTCCTTTTGGGGTAATATTCAACCCTCATAATCTCATATACGGGTATAATTAAGTCATATTTTGGGTCCATTTGTTGAGTCTGATGGTTGTAAATGAACCTTTATAGGGCGACAACAGACTTTACGGGTTTATGCTTGTGCCACTGTCTGCCTACGCGTGCAAGCCTCTACCTCCTTTTCATGGCTGGAGCCGATGTTCAGCATGGCCATGGGGCTGTTGGGGGCGCTGTTCCCAGACATGAGCTGCTCCGTGCGCATGTGGGGGGAGTGCAGAGGAGGAGGTGCTGATGCTGAACCCCCAGCAGGTCCCATGTTTGTGGGAGAAGATGGTGGCATTATCCCTGCTACTGCGTTGACTGTCTGAGGACGCACAGAAAGAACAGGGATGATGGTATTAATGTATTATACACCACAGTGTGCTTCAGCTCAATGTACACTGTTGAACAAGTCAAATTACAATCAACTCTTTGATCTGCACAGGATATAAATGAGTGGAGAATTAAAGAAAAAGATACCTGTTTGGTGGCGAAGGTGGTTGAAAGGTATTCTTTCACCTGTTGCTTCCGTGACTGACGGATGTGATAGTCTGTCGGGTTTTCGAGGTGAGTCTGTACCTTTAGTCATTTATAGGGTAAATGTCATATCATGAATTAGTTTACCACCCATAAATTTGCAGCACATTTTCTAACTTGCAAAAACAGGTAGGGTGTTTTCTTTTTTATTCCCACAAACTTAACACACAAGCAAGTGCCTAATATTCACTCAGACTTTTGTCTGAATTAAAAACAGTCATGTGTTCAACCAATCGTGTACGTTTCAGTAAGGTTAGCTCTGAACATTTCAACCCATGTTACACTGATGTCTGGCCATTTATCAGTACTATGACACAGTAGCTGTGCGCTATAAGAAATGTCTACAGGAGCAAAGCTGGACCAAATCCACAGGAATGGCTACATTGAGAAATGCACTGGCCTCATTCCTTCACATCAAAGCCTACAGCTAAGTGCAGTACAGTACAGTACTCTCAACCTTTTCGAGACACCAGGGGGATTAAATCATATGGTCCAGAACATTTCAGTAAATAGATGTTTCTAGTCCTTCCTATGACTTAGGACGTGTCTCTTGTGCAACTGCAAGGGCAAGGAGATGGTATATCCTCCAAAGAAAACTACAACATATTCTCAGTCTCACAAGTAGTTTTCTGCATTCTCAAAAAGTAAAGTAATGACTTCTTCTTGTAACGAGCTATCCAGCAAGGTCCATGAATTAGGTAATAATTGCATAATCTTGCTGACAGGAAACAATTATCTATGTTGAAATCCCTGTTCCACAGATGTCACCTTGACAGTTTAAAAATGTATTCAAAATATGTCTGTGTCTCATGACCCACGGGAGCAGCTATTTGGTCATGACTACTCGTGCTATCACCTAAAGCTCTGACAGCAGAAATGAAGTTCAAAGAAACGCACAGCAGCAGGTATGAGAGGACCTGAATGACTGACAGTTGCCTTTATCTACAACAGGCATAACAATGAGATTTCATAAAGATCGTCCCATTCCCGGACACATACACGCACACAAAAAATGTACAAACTGTCAAAGCAGCCGATTGTGTACAATGGACATATTCATGGTGCCAAAAAATCCCAACACAGCATGCTAAAAGTATTACTCAAGCCCTTCATACAGACATACACACCATTAAAGATAAGGACAAACACTAGAATCACTAAAATCAGCCATAATGTCACCTCAGCTTTATCTGTCCCTGTCTGACCCACAGCACATCTGCATCACTCCTGTTGGCCTATCTCATGTCAAACGTCTCTTATCTCTGCCTTCATTCTCCTTACCTGCAGCCTGCTCTGCTGCGTTTTTCTATTTATCTTTTAAAACTTATCTCAGATTATTCACTGTGTGCCAGCACTGCCATGTGAGAGGCCAAAATGCCCAGAGTGAAGTTCAGAGTGCCTCCTGTCTCCTTCCCTCCGCCATAAGATTGGATTCATTTCTTTAAATACCCAGACTCAAACTTCTCTACATGAAACACTCACCCAAACAAACATTCAAACCAGCAAGTGATGCAGATGAACAGTTCTGGTTAAAAAACATATGGCTTCACTGACCTTCAGGACCTCCACTGGGACCTGCATGCTTTGGTAATGCTGCGGGGTGCTAATGGCGGGCGTGGGTGCAGGAGGCCCGGCCATGCGTTGCTGCATGTACTGCAGGGCTGCATTCTGCTGCTGCTGCTGCCGCTCACGCTGCTCCTCCTGCTGCAGCTGGTCTCGCATCAGCTGGACACAGAAATGCTCAATGAAACACTGACCAGCGGCCTTACCGGAGATGTTACATGTGGCTCTTCTCCTCCCCTCTACTAATGCGCAGACGAGCACAAAGTCAAGTCCCAAATCTTATGACTCAAAGAAAACTATGCACGGTAGGCTAAGGCAGTGATTTTCCAGTGGAAAGTTTAGATAGCGATTAGAAAAATTCCAGACTCAGTGTTCGGTCGATCACTGAGTGCTACAAGCACGGCACCATGGGGAAAATGCTGTGTGCACCGCTTTACGCATGGTGGAGAGTGGTTGTGTTGTACCTGCATCCGCAGCCCGATACGTGAGGCCATTGCTGGGGGGCGAGGGGGCAGGGGAGGGCGAGCCGATGTTAATGCGGCACAGTCCAGCCCGAGAAGTAAAGGAAGCTGTGGAGGAGATAACAAAAGAGCAATGTGTAAGTTAGATAAAGAACCAAGGTGAACGGTAAAGAGGAGACTGATGCCTAAAGTAACATTTGCTTTCAAAAATCTGTGACATCACACAAAGTGTCTGTGGAGTGTCAACAGTTTTTTTTCTCAGTTTTGTTTCTCACATTTTTCAATAAAAAGCCTTCTTATTGTTTCTCTGTTGGCGAGAGCCTCAGTGTGAAGAGGCCCTGTTTGTGGGCATGTGACATTCTGATGTACTATTGATACAGCATGTACATTAAAGAGCTGTGCCTCTATTACTGTTCAACTACACTTGATTTAAGGGTTTCCAGCATGGGTTCACTGGACTCTCAGAAGTAGTTTGGGCTTTCATGGGTGTTATTTCAGCATAAAGCTGGAACCAGTGACCATCACTCCTGCTAATTAGAATGCTATATCATCAAAACCTCACTGTGACAAGTTAAAAACCTCCCAGTGAATGTTTAAAGCAACTAAATATGCAGACGTTCTCTTAACAGGAATAGAAAAAATATGTCTGTGGCCTAAATCATCTGCATCGAGTATGTCAAGCAGAATCCATCATTCTCTGTCCTCGTGTAATACACTAGTTTGGATCTATTACTAATTCCAAACAGAAACCAATAAAAGTACACACTGATATGGCTAAATGCCCTTGTTTATCTTTCAAGATAAGAGGGGTTTTTTTTCAATTGCCTTAAAGACAGATATCCTTAAGAAAACTCCTAGTAAACATCTTTACAGTCTGTGTATAACATCAAATCCTGCTGAATAGAGGAAGCTCTCTCTAATATCGGAGGGGTCATGAGGGAGTCATGTTATGTTGTTGTTCTTAGGAGATCATGTGAGCTGAAGGAGCAGGGGAACACCCATCACCCCTTAGCAACATGTCCTCTCCTTTTATCTTTCCGATGCAAACACACTCACAAGCATTTAGAGAGGAGTCCTAGGAGAGACAGCCCCACTTGGCCAATCACTGGGGCTAATTCCCTGCATGACTAAGCTTGTTTGGACTCAAAGGTGAGCTGACACCAGAGCCAGGTCTCTACTCTATTCAAATGATAGCACACAGTGGGATGATAGACAGCACAGCATCAGTCAGAGTCCTAGACCCATCAGAAATGCTGTCTGTATATGGTCATAAAGAGAGAAAGACACAGAGAGAAAGACAGACACAGAGAGAAAAGCTCATTGTGCGTGAGGTACAATAAGAAGGGCAGCTCCTATTGAGGAGGACTGAAGCCGCCTGTTGTCCAAAGTGTACATTTCAGCGCCCGAGGGGGCACACACTGCTCGCTTTGTGCCCATTAGATTGCCCACATGAAAAACACACACCCATGCTGAGCTACACTTTGAAAGACATTAGCATTCCAACCTAAACTTGTATCAGAACGACTTCAGCAGACTTTAGCAGCTTTCCAATAGCAGCCCGAAACGGCGCCGAACATCTCCAGCTCTCAACTCTGTACACGCTAACATTTGGAGTACACCTGTGAAGGCACCAGTAACTGCCCCATTCAAAGTGTGTTTAGAGCACAGAGAAGTTTGCCAGCACACATGCACACAGTGGGGGAGTACTGCAGAGTGTATTTATAGAGCCTGATAAATAGGGCGATTAAATTATGAAACTCAGTCAGTAAGGTAGGAATGCTGGCTAAAAGGGGATATGTGCCCGTTGATTTAAGGGTGTAAGGGCAGCCCCTTATGTTCAAAAGCATTTTCAGTTAGTTAGTTTTGTCCTTAAGACATTACTTGTGTCAAGTACAATAAAATACAAATTTACAGCTTTACATGTAGAAGTGGTTTTTGATTACACATCACTGTCCAGCTTTTCTGGAGCCGTCCAAAAATAATATAGACCCTTCTCTGGATTTTCCTGTTCAACACACATCCTATGCCGTTTCAGGTGGTTATTAGAGAAATGCAATCCAAAAGATAACACAGACATATGTTAGACATAGGTTTTGTTATTTCACTTCATACCGCTGGTACATCTGGCTTTCTCATTTTCGGGTCTTTAAGAATGTTGGCCATATTTAATTGAGAAATGAATTGATAGGAGAAGGCTCTACAAGAAAAATAAAATTTATGGTAATTAATTCATTTTAGGGCTGTATAATTTGCTTTCATTTTCAAACATGACACTTATTTTTGCTGTGTAAAGCTTTGAATGTGACTACTTTACTTCCTCATTGTGTGTTATGCAGCAAAAAGCCTGTGACAGAGCCATGACAAATTTATATCCCGTAATATAGGACACATACACAGACATATATCACTTCCTGATATCATATGGTGACACACTTATACTAGACAGCTTGGTCTCCTAAATGGGGCGCTCCCATTGCCTGACATCTACTGGGGACATTCGTGACGCAATAGGCGCACACAGTGGCCATTGTGTGTCCAGCGCTGTAATGTCATGGCCCCTTCACTTCAAACAGTGACGGCCAGTAGGAGGAAGCAGAGCGGAGGAAGCCCAGGTCAGAGGCCAGCTCTGGACTTTGCCACATATTAGTCACTAACACACGTGCAAAGGAAAAAAGAAACAATACAAAGAACGATATTTCAAACATGCTTTGCGATGACAGCCTTCCCCTCGAAACAACACGTACACACGAACGCATAAACACAACAGTACACTCACACCCGGAGGGGAAGTGTGGGGCCATGGCACCTGTGCTCTGAGACATGGTGTTAATTTGTGGAGGGTGTATTTTTAGACGTGGCCGTGCAAAGCCAAGAAGGGTTTCTTTGACAGCCAGAGTGTGTGTGTGTGTGTGTGTGTGTGTGGTTGATACACATACTGTGTCCTCTCATCACAATGCATGTGTGCAATTAAAGTTTACAAAGTACGCAGCTGAATTTGTGCAGTAACTTCAAAGGTCATTTACAGGGATATTCTGTGCAGACTAGCAGGTAACATGGGCAAAGAAGCTCTACGCAGGAAAAGCAAGGAGAGAAAATGAGTAGAGGTCAAAATAATGCCTGAGCCCGAAAAGTGGGTCAAAGCCGGTAAATCCAGCTGGGAACATTGACACCTTAAACACCCACTTGCACTTTATCAAAACAAAAAGCAAAAACGAAACCCAACTGTCTTCCTCAAGAATTGGACGTTTTGATGTTTTTCCCATCTAAAGAAACTTGAAATGGTGGGTAGGTCTATGAATATACCAATCTGATGACAGTGCCCTCTCCTTTCTGATCTGAAGCCACACTTACTGTAATGGCCTCTGCAGTGGCAAGCTCTAATGTCAGGGGAATTCAGCTGCAAACATTTCAGCTAGAGGGAGATTCTCAACAAATGAAACAGCAAATATTACACATGACATTGGAAATGTATTCACTTGTTATCCTCAAGATAGAAAATAAATAAATAAGATCTGCATATGCTATTCATGTGTTTGTTCAAGGAAACCAAGACAGCATATACCAGACGGCACATTGGGTGAGTGGACAGCTCCGTGTGTTCAGCAATTTTACTGCTTTTGTGCAGGAGCTGCCCACCACAGCAGGACAGAGCAAAGTCACAGAGGATGTAAGTAAATTAATGCCGATTCACGCTCCTCTTCCAGACGAATAGCTGGAACAGCGTCAGAGTGTCTGATTTAGTTAGTATCAAAACCCAGCTGTTGTGGTCAAATTTATCCAAAAAATACAGTTAGTGGTTTTGCATCCTGTGGTGTATTCCCTGGAGCACCACAGTGTTCCAAAAAACAGAATTCCCTCACAGCAGTTCTAGTTGTATCTAAATGTTGCGCATTTGGGTATTTCATTTCTTAATATGAGAAAGTGTACACAAAGCGACATTCACCAGCCACACATGAACACACACTTTCAGCATTAAGCTGCCTTCCTGCATGCACTGACAACTAAAATAACCCTCTGCTCTCTGTTCTCCTTTCCAGGAACACCCTGTTCCCTGAAGACATAGTTCATTTTTGTTTGTATTTGTGTGTGCGCATCTACATGCACCAGTGCATTTGTAGGTGGGGGCAAGGGCATGCACATGAAGGGTGAGTATGCATGTGTAGAACCCCACTATAGCGTTTGTTGGCTCTAAAGGCTATAGCAACACACTCTGTGAGGAGGGACGGTGCGATTACGTAACAAAGCCGGAATTAGAAGTATGAGGTCCTCGTCACAGATCTATGGTCTCACACTAACACACACAGACATTTCTGATGTTAAGGGATACACTAACAGTTGCACCAAAGACACTGAACTCATCTGCTCCAGCATGCAGACAGACAGACAGACAGACAGACAGACAGACAGACAGACAGACAG